ATATAAAACGCTGCAGAAAAAGTACCTCTTTATTGTACCGTGAAAGAAGTGGCGCTGTAGCTTGGTCATTATGATTCTTGCCATTTAATTCCAGGGTCCTGGGTTCAATTCCTGTCACAATAACTGGATTTTTTCTCACAATCAAAATAACTTCATTCTCAAAGACTTATAATGAGATTTATAGGCCAATTATTCTTGTCTGTGTGTTATTTAGGATTGCCACATAACTAAAGTTCACTGTTGGAATTTTCTTGGCCTTGGAAAATATAAATGAAATGAAAGAAAATAAATATTATTTATTTTTTCAATTTGTTTACCTTAATTTTTTTAGTATTCAAAAGAGGTCTAATTATTTTAGATAATGTCCCCATAATATAGTTGCAGTTTGGTATAAAAAACGATTTTTTTGTGAGCCATAAAAGACCTACCTTTTATAACGTAATTTTACAATTTTAACTATTGCAACATTGACAATGATAGAAACATCTTTCTTTTTTTTTTTTGCTGGGGTATTCGTGCAGTCGGTCATCTTGCTCTATAACGAGTTATTTATATTCATTCTTTTTAGTAACTGAAGCTACGAACACATCGTCGTGGATAACTATTGAGGGGAAAAGAATAGAACTCCCAGCACCCCCAGATGCAGATAGTTTGTCAAGCGCAAGTATAGACTCGGTTAACTGGTTCAATGGTGTGAAAGTGGACGTTAAAAATATTATCGTTAGTCTGAGGTATCCCAATCAAGGTCGCTTTTCCATTGATATCACTAAACAAACCATCGGAAATTTGATCATAGAGCCTGTGTACAGAGCAGATATAGGACATTATACCTGTCAAGTTATTAAGAAGGATATAATAACATCATGGACACACAAATTGTTTCTGGATGTATATTGTGAGTGTTAATAAGTAAATACAAAAATAAATAAATTTTCCTCTTTTTTTATCATTTCAAAATGTTTAAAACTGCATTCGTTGCTAGCCCTTATGTAGAATTTTGATGGAGGTGTACATTTTTGCGAGGGAGGTGGCTGGGATCTTTAGGTTTCCGGTCGTCCAGGGATGAGTCCCGATGGAGTTTGGAGAAAAGCACTCGTAACCTCCGACAAAGTAGCATAGTTAATCAGGCCTTCTTTAAGTCCTTAATTTAATAGACTTGTTAGAACCATAATTCATGAAAAAGTCGATTTCAATTTCCATTCATTTTGAGTGTTGTTTAACAGCTATAAATTAAATTAACCGGTTTGCCCAAAGGTGTGATAACCACACTTTGAAACTAAATATCAGTAGCCTAGACAATTATCATTGACTTTAGAAGGACATGCAAATGCCATTCTCCACTAACACTAAAACTATAAGAGGACATCAGGCACGTAGGCAGGGTAGGTGGGGGTTGGTAGTGCAGAGGGACGCACTCCCTCAAATTCCAAAAGGTCCACTTTTTTAAACCTATTATTTCACAATCGTTCCTAATTATCACGAAATGCTTTAGCATGTATTGATATATTTGCTAGCTCTTCTAACCATTGATTTTTCATAATGTGGTATGAAATTTGTTGGAAATTGGTCGGCTCCGGTGATTGCAGATTGATCCATAATATGAACATATTTGTAGATTTACAGATATATAGAATATATAATGTTACTTCTTCAGAAAAAACAAAAAAACAAAAAAACAAAAACAAAAAAAAAACCCAACAATAATGAAAATTTAAATAAAATATTAACGAATTATGTGTTTGACCCTCAAAGACCCTCAAAATGCTACTTTGCCGGAGCCTTCCATGGCTTTTCCCACAAACTCCCTCCAGGTCTCTGCCCCTGGACCCCCCAAAGTACACTTTTTGAAACCTATTATTTCATTAAAATCTTAAAATCTAATTATCGCGAAATGCTGTAGTATGCATTGAATTTTATTTGCCCGCTTTACTAACCGTTGATTTTTAATAATGTGCTACGAAATCTGTTGGAACTTGTCTGCTCCAGTGATTGCAGATTGATCCATGTCATCTGTAGGATACATATTTAAAGGACATAAAAAGTTACAACTTCACAATGGCGGATTCAAGGATGGGGCATTTTCGAAAAGAAATAGAGAAAAAGAAAAATTATAATTAAATTTAGGTCTGTGTGTGACCGACCATCTAGAGGTGCCATAATCATAAATGTACTTCCTTCCGGGGGATTTGGCCCTACCCCCTTACCACCCCACGGGGAGCCCTAGACGGTCTTCCATCCTAAGGTCTGCTTCGTTCGCAAAACGCACATCCCCATCCCCAAAATCCTGCGTACAAGAATATGTGGAGCTAGAAAATTTCGATTACAAATGAGAATGTAAAATTACTTTGTTTTGTTGTTTATTGTCCAGAATTCATAATAAAAATACCGCTACTAACATACATGTGATCATGCTTAGTTTTTACCAATATGCCTATTTTCTTAAATGAATACCGGTATCATTTATTATTTTTGTATGTATTTTTTTTTCCATTGAAGATATGGATTCTCCTGCGATCATCTTAGAAGGGAGAAAAAACAACAATGTTTACTTCTCCTGCATTTGGTCTATAATCAATCCTGATAAACAACCCGATGTAACATGGTTACTTGATGGCAGGAAAATTAACACTACATCAACTAAATACATTTTAAAAGAAAAATTCAGAGAGAAAATACTTTGGATTCTAAACGTAACTTCAAGTGATCTAGGAAATTACAGTTGCAGTATCACTGTTGATACAAATAGAGGTGCAATGACTGAGGTAAGCAAGGAGTCTGCAGAACTAACAAGGGGTGAGTAATCAACGTCTGGATCATATTATAATCATGCTTTAGAGCCTTTTTGACATATATAAAAATAATAATAATAATAATAATAATAATAATAATAATAATAATAATTATAATTAT